GCTGCCTCCGACAGGAGCCATGGACACTGGCTAGCAAGGCATTTGGGTGCTGCCTCCGACAGGAGCCATGGACACTGGCTAGTAAGGCATTTGGGCGCTGCCTCCGACAGGAGCCATGGACACTGGTTAGCAAGGCATTTGGGCACTGCCTCCGTCACCTGTGCTCATGGTTTCCTTTCAAACGTGAACGTGGCCAGGGAGACAGGCACCGTGAGGCATCGAGAAGGTCTCCTAACAAGCAGTCCCCCGAAGAAAAACAAAGAGCCGCATCTTCTCTCTGTCTAGATTTGGTTATTTCGGGGTTTCCTGGAGGTGTGCTGCGCTGGGAAGGAGGGCACTGAACACGGACGGTAAGGTTAATCTGGGTAGGGAGACGAATAGAAACTTGAGGAAAATTCCCTGAACTTTGAGCAGCTCAAAAATGAACGAAAGGAAAGCTGCGTGGAAAGGAAGGCTCCACTGGGCGGGGACTCATCTGCCAGCGACAGTTACCTTGCAGTGTGCTTCCCGGAAGGTCACACGAGTCCAGCTCCGTAGTCCCTCAGATGAGGGCTGGCTTTGGGCCCTGTTAGTGGCTCACTCACCAGGAAAACAGGCATTGTCATGAATGAATATCAATATTCTAAGCTAGTCATGATTTTGACCTCCAACTGTTATTTTTCCCAAAGGCACACCTGTGAGTTTATTTCTTAGACACATTATATTCCATTAAATATAAACTCACTAAATTCGTTTCCCAGAGATATTTTGTAGTAACCTAGTTGGATGATTTTGGTTTTATTCAATAATGTGTCTGCCTTAGAGTGTTTTGCAGTCCTGAAGGCAAAGAGAGGAATTCTAGCAGAGGTCTCCCAGAGGTTAGCACCCTCCTGAAGTATTTTGTGAGGTATTGTTTGCAACTAGGACATAACTGTCTTCTTATCTGCTTCCGGAGTTGAGTCTGTGTTTATCTGAGCTGTAAACAGCTCCCGAAAGTCAGCCTGCCTCTGATGAGGACTCTGGTCCCGTCTGGTTAGAGTGGGCCCTCTCTGCTATTGCTCCAGTTGTCTTCTGTGGCTGTGTTCTCCTCTCCTATGAAGGCCTCCTCTCCTCCTTTGCTGTTTCTCAGAAACCAGTCCATTCTACTCCAGCTTTCTAAGGCCAGTACAGAATGAATGCCCACTCTTTGCTCATCATGCGATGTTAGCTTTGAAACATTGCACACCTAAAGCAACAACAGTTGCTCCTAAATATTTTCTCATTACAAAAGCTAAATGAAGAATCATTATGAAAAGCCTGGAAGTTTCAGAAATGTGCAAAATAATGTAAACTAGTCATATAAAGCCCCTTCTAACCAGATTTTGCTTCCTCTTCCTGTAGCTACTGGATGCCAATGGTGCCTCACTGGGAGGGGGGACTTGGTGCCCACCCTCTCTCCATGATATGAGGTAGTGTAACACTGGTTTTCTTCCCACCCACCATTATCCTATGAGCATTTACACCTCATGGCTTTCAAACACAGTTTTTAGTTCAACCTAATATTCCTAATTCGTTGAACTCTTCCCCCATTGTACAGGATTCAGATATTTCCCAATTTCTGGCAAGTATAAATAATGTTATTGAAAACATCATCTTTCTTGCCGTTTTAAAATTGCTTTTTTTTCATTACGAGTGATGGGTTTGTGCGACAGTCCTGTGTATACACCAGTTTTCTACACCCTCTGCATGGGGGTGACCTCATCTCCACCGTCTTCTTCCTGAGAGACTCAGAAAGAGTGCGTGATTTACCTGCGTCCACGTACTTATTGAAAATGTGGAATTCTTTCATTTTCCACTCCCTTCACCTCTTCTTCTCAAACACGACTCTGCCTTCTTAAATGTTGTTCTCTAAGCCCCTTAATTTCAGTTTTATACTAAGTTCTACTACCACAACCCAGACTCTTCCCTGATGGCCAGCTGAAAGTCACCCAGCTGGCCCCTAGCACTTGCTTTCCAGTCTTCCCTGACCACTGCTACAGACCCATCTGGGATTGGCTCACTCTCTGTCTCAAACACTGCTGACTTCTCCGTGCAGCTTCCCATCAGGCTTCATCACCTGCCCTGGCACTGGGAGCGCCACCTCTCCCAGTGTTCCTAGTTTGTGCCCCTGCTGTCCATCTGCCTGCAGTCCCATCCCATGCCTTCCTCTTATTCCCTTCGCACTCCAAAGCGACTTTCTTGCTTTATCTTCTAAGCTTCGCTCGATCCTCTGGGGCACAGTTCACGCCTTATCTATTCTGTGAAACAGAAGAACCTTCTGTGACATTCAAAACCTGGGCAACGTGAGTGCAGATCTCCACCATTCTTGCTGGGGGGTCAGGGGCAAAGAAGACGTTCCCTCAAGCATACTCCTCTATATGCAAATAATAATGCCCTATGCATGCTCGTCAGAGCCTGGGAATAGCTAAATTATGTTACAACGTTTTGATAAGTTTCTAATGTTATGGAGATGAGACAAGATATTGTCTACTGTGTCCATTAATATCTGCAACTCTGAGTCATCTCAATATCCACGTCTGTGTCACACACTGCAGCCCTTAAGAGCATTGGTGTTCTCGTGATCCTCACACTATGAATTTTGTCTGTCTCATTATATTCTCTGATGTTGTACGTGTGTTCATCAATTTTCTTGCTCAGCGTGGCTGAGTTTCTGAGTGAGGTACAGTGCGTCACCTTGTTTTATGCCTATAAACCCCAGAACCCCAAGTTATTCATCACCCTAGTGTTCACCAGACTAATCTAGATATGTTCTAGCTGGCAAGATCTAGGTGGGGTCACACTGGGATTTAAATATAAATAGAGAAGCTTGTGGCCCCAGCTCTCTGAAGGCCCTAGAAATAGAAAACTCTTGCTTTGGGGGAAGTTTTTTTAAGATTAGCTTACACTTTGTGAAAGTTACATATGAAAGTATTTTCTCCACTGAAATCTGTCTCTTAGAAATATCTCCTAAAATTTTATAGCAATTCTTCCAAAACCACACTTCCTGAAACCAAAGGGAAGAACCAAGTGTGTCCTGTAGATATTTAGGAACGAAACTATACTGTTGGTTGTCTCCATCAAAAACACCAGGGTAGCCAGTGCTATCTTATTACAGACTGTGTTATGAAAACCTGTCTTGAAACTATTTATTTAATCTTAAAGTCAACTTTTAGTTTTATCTAGTTAGTAGAGCCCCAGAGAACATTCCCACCTATTAGGTTAGTCACCAAAATGTGAATTATAGGTAAGGTTAGATTTAGTGAACAATGCAGGGGCTGAGGCTAGAGTTAGACCATGCTTAGATTTGCCGTCAGTGTTGGGTGGCAGAGTCCACTCTAGGATGAAACTGAGTTTTAGTAGTAGTTTGAAGGCTAGGATTCATGGTAGAGTTGCCACTGGTGTTATGGCTAGGTTTAGGCTGTCCTTATATTCCCAAATATAAAGGATACTCTCACTAAAAATATCCTGGAAATTTCCATTATCCTGTATGGTAAAAGACTTATATTTCTGTCTATTTTTTAGGGCGACAGGTAGAAGCATTACTGCAGGAGCAGCTTCGGTGTGCAGTGTTCCTCAGATTAGCTGCAACCGTCAGCTGTAAAGCTCTCTCAGTGAAAGACAAGCAATGCTTTCGTGTAGGCGTTCGCAGTCTAAAGGTCAGCTGCTGGATCATGTTCGGTTGGTACTTCTCCCCCTAACATCTCCAACATAGAATTTGACACCATTGGAAGTGCTGTGATCTGGAGTGCACCAACCTTGTAAAACACTTCTAAAATATAAAACATGTACATCTGTGAAGCACTAGTTAGTCATGAAGTTCCATAGAGGAAAAAAATATTTCCTAGTTGGCAGATGTTTCTCTTTTATGTATTTCTAGGCCATACTTCTTTCTTAAACTGTGAACTACAATGTCCAGCGGCTGAATGATGTCCTTGCCCGATCTAGATGGCCCCGAATAATGTACTCACAGTTTAGGCGGCACATAAACATCAACAGCCCCCTATTGTCCCCCACAGACATCCCCTAACACGCTTCCTCTCTTTTCCATTCTACTTGAAGACAGCACCATCACCGAGAATTCTAAGCCAGCACTCTGATTCAGTTCCTGTTTCACCACCTACTATGATGTCTCTTAATGAAAATCCCTCAGCTCTCCCATCCACGTCCTCCCTTTTGCTCTCAAGTTGCCCTTTAGGGCCTCTTGCCTAAACCATTTGCAAGAAACTCTTAAAATAGCTGTCAAGCCATTGCTCTACCGTCCAGCTCTCCCTTGCCTACTCCACGGTCACCAAACCAAGATGTTTTATTATGATAAACACTAGCTGAAAGTCTCTCTCAGTCTCCCTTTCAGAGGCTTCTATGGTACTTACCCTTCCATTTCTCTAGAGTTTTCCAGTTCTCTTGGTTCCCAGTGGACACTGAATGTCAAGATTGTACTCACCACTCATTAGGACCTGCATTGCCCTGCCGTGCATGGTTTCGTGCTCGAAGTTGAGGAGAGTTCATTCATCCACACACTACCACTTCACTGACCAGCGCTTGGGTGTGCCCGTGATCACAAGATCACAAGATCACAAGACTTATACTGAGAGAAAAGCCCGTGTAGGACTCTGAAACTCTCACAGATCCTCTTTGTGTATTAGTGTGTCCGGTCCCAAAATAAAACTTGTGCTGTGTAAGGTTTCTTTAAAAAGCACACCCTGCATCTCTGCAGGAAGCTACAGATTAATAAACAGCTGACAGAAGACACTAAAGGGACTCAGTGAATCACCAGGGTGCCCTCACTTACTCTCACCAGACTGAGGAGATGGAGGACGAGGGCACAATGCTCATTTCTCCTTGACAGATTTGCAAAGGATGTTCCAAAACTTGGGGGGATCAGGACACCGCTAACTTCCCACATCATGGTGCAACAGAACCACAAAAAAAGAAAACAATCATAACAAAAGCGAATCTGGGAGGATGCGTGAATACAGAAGGACCACTTCATTCTTTGTGACCCCCATGTATGATGCAGCATCTTACACGTTGTACAGACTGTTTCTAAATTACTCGTGAGAACAAATGATGACAAGTAGACCACATGCAGTCCATTCCTTCCTACCCTCCTTCTCCCTTCCACCCTTCCTCCCTGCCCCCTTTCTTTCAACAAGATCTCATGTAGCTCACTTTGTTTTAGCTCCTAACACAGCTGATGACTGCCTTGATCTTCTGAACCTTCTATCTTTCTACCTCTGGAGTGCTAAGATTACAGGCACAAACCCTCAAGTCAGTTTCTGCAAACTCAGTTTCGTGTATGATAGACAACACTCTACTAACTGAGCTACCGCCCCACCCCACCCACATGTGTGTGGGTCTACAGCCACTGGGTGTCTACTCTGGTAGACCTCAGACCAGAAACAAGGGAGACTTAGAGTGGAGCTCTGTCCTCACCATGTGAAAACCGAAGAGCTCAACTACCCTCAGTACAAGACTGAAGACCTTGGTTTCAGGTTACCTGTAGCAAATGTCAGCTCCTTGGAGCATTCTCTCAAAATCACCTTCAATCCCAGGATCTGGAAGGTCAAAGCTTCCCACAAGTTTTCTGCTGGAAAAATGATATAAGCTGGGAATATAGATGGAATGAATGATTGTGGAGATATGATAGTCAAAGGAATGATACTAGTTCATTCATAAAAATAAGACCATGTTTGAGACTCCTTCATCAATGGGACCAAATAAAGGGTTAAATTTTGCCCATTAAAGGTAGGCTTCCCTCATGTTTGTCTCCCCCATACTTCTTACTTGGGGTCAAAATACCCAGGTATATCACTCTTAGGCATATACCTGAAGAATGCTCAATCATACCTCAAGGACCCTTGCTCAACAATATTCACAGTAGCATTATTCGTAATAGCAAGAGCCTGGAAACAACCTAGATGCCCCTCAACTGAAGAATGGATAAAGAAAATGTAGTGTGTTTACTCAATAGAATATTACTGTGCTATAAAAAAACAACTGAAATTTGTTAGTATCATGAAATTTGCAGGCAAATGGAAGGAATTTAAAAAAAAAAATCCTGAGTGAGGTAACCTAGACTCAGAAAGACAAGCACGGTACATACTCACTCCTAAGTGGATAGATGATAGGAAGCAAAGAACAGGATAGCCAGACGACAATCCACAGCTCCAGAGAAGCTAGGGCCTTCTTCCAGTAATAGATAGAACCAGATAGAAAGATCCACAACCAAGCACCAGGCCGAACTCTAGGATGCCCGTCGATGAGAGAGAGGAGGGATCATATGGACAAGGGAGGTCAAGATCGTGATGGAGAAATCTACAGAGACAGCTGAACCAAGTTCATGGAAACTCATGAAGTCTGGATGGGCAGCTGTGGAGCCTCCGTGGATCTGATCCAGGCTTTCTGTATGAGGGAATCAGTTGTGAAACTTGGTCTAACTGAAGGACGCCCCACAGTAGGACCAGGATCTATTCCTGGCACTGGAGCTAGCTTGTTAGAGCCCATTGCCAAAGTGGGGATGCCGTACTCAGACTTGGTGCAGAAGGGAGGGGTTTGGTCCTGCCCTAAATTAATGTGCCGAACTGTGTCAACTCTCCATGGGAGGAGTGGATCGGGGTTGGTCTGGGGCAGGGAAGAGATAAAGGGGGCGGAAGGAGGGAGTGGGTGATTGGTGTATAAAATGAATTAATAAATAAAAAAATTTAAAAAAAGAAAAACCCAACCCCTCCCCCAAAATGAGAAAACGAATGTAGTTTCTGTCTTAGCTGGGGTTTTTATTGCTGTGAAGAGACACCATGACCGTGACAACTCTTACAAAGAAAACATTTAATTAGGGTGGCTCGCTGACAGTTTCAGAGGTTCAGTCCATTATGATCGTGAAGGGGAGCATGGCAGTGTGCAAACAGATGTGGCGCTGGCTACCGCTTTCACCAGAGGGCAGCAGGAAATCAACTGGCTGTCACAAAGAGGGAAGCTTGAGGAAAAGGGACCCAAAAGCCCACCTGCACAGTGACCCATCTTCTCCAACAAAATCACACCTCCTTTGGGGATCATTTTCTTTGAAACCACCCCAGTTTTCAAAGCAGCCCCTGTGGGATGCTGGCCTTCAGATCTTCCCTTCTCCTCCACAGAGTTTCCTCACCCTGCCTTCCTGTGAGTCTCAGCAGCAAGTGATGAGTTTTGATTCTTGCCAAAGCAAGCTCTGAAGGAATAGGTTTTGCTTGCTTTAATGTATGTTATCTTGGTACATGTTATCCACGGATGTTTAGAAGTGTCAGTCTGCCTATCCATAAGGGAGGAAGGCTAAGGCCAGGAGTAGTAGAACATTCTGGGTACCAGAATGGAGACTGTTATGGGCAGAGACTTTCAAGTTCAATGGGAGAAGTGCAAATACAGGTGCAGAGCTCAGGATTACTCAGTTCGTGGACTGGATCCCTGTAGAAGAGGGAAGGACACACGGGCTATGCGGCGATACAGTGGCGTTGACCGTGGAGAGCTGGAGAACTTTTGCCATGTAAGCCTGTTTGTTTCTGCCTGCTTAGCCTTGCCTCCCCCTGGTGGCTCCACCAGGCTACTGCAGTGAGAGCAGTGCTGGTGGCAACCTTGAGAGAAGCTGGTTGCCTGGTTGCCTGGTAAGTTCTCATTTTGACAGCAGCAGACCTGCCGAAGCCAGGGTTCCAGAGAGACCTGCAGGAACCTGAGTACAGGGGCACACGGTAGGGACATAGCAGAACTTTCACGGTCCTCGTGTGCACGCTGACACACTGGTCCTCGTGTCTGTGATGTGGCTGCCCCTCTCACTGGTCCAGATCTTTCTATCGTAAACCCAAGGATAGCTTCGTGAGCCCGAGATGTCCTGAGGGTGACATCTCCAACTGCCGCCCTAGTTGGAGATGTCACCCTGTTGGGACCATGGCACATGTCATGTAGCAAGCAGCATCAAAGTGTGGAGCTCTGCAGTGAAGAGATGTGCATCCATGGGGAGCAAAGGGCACAGCGGCAGAGCTGGCAGGGGAGGACCACTCCAGGCACCTCTGGCGGTGATAAGGACCACATCAGTTTTCATAACTCCTGTCCATGGAGAAGCTGTTGATCCTCAGGCACCTTCTTCAAATGGCCAGAGCAACCTCACCCGACAGTGCTGAAACTTTGGGTTGTCAGCATCTTGCCATCTGGGGAGCAGAGGAAGGAAGGCCCTGGGAGATGCTGCTAACCTTCAGCTTTAACTCCTATGTGGCCTCATTGTGTCTTTGCTTCTTCCTGGAACAGAGAGCAGAGAGAGTTTAAAGAAAACAGACTTCAAACGAACGACAAGAATAACACAGCCCATGAGGAGCATGCATAATGCCAAAGGCTGCCAGTTCAAACCACACGAGCGCCAGGCGGCCAGTCCCACAGACAACTTACTGTTATCTTGTTGGTTGGCAAGGCAAGCATGCTTGATTGGTGGCTATCCTCATTTTGTCTCTTTGATGACAAACTCTGTAGTAGGGATTTCCAGGAAAAAGACCACAAATGAGCCATAGATTACACTGCATTCTGTGCAGAACATGTTGTTCAGTTTTTCATTACTGGACTGAGTCTTGGTGTAGCTGAGCCAGAAAACATCCATTAGCTCCCATTCCTCTGCTGACTCTGTAAAAAAAAACATGCTGGAAGAAAGAAGTTCAGTGAGTGAGCTATCTAGAAACCTGTGAAGCTTTTTCTCAGATGAAATAGGAATAAGATGTGCCAATAGCCCAGGGCTGTATTGATGTGATGCTGTGGAACCACTCCTCCATGTGAGTCTATTATCAACTCGTTTTGGAATGCCTTCCTGACAAGTAGGTTGTTTTGACTGTCATTCTTTTTTTTTCCCCCTGAGACAGGGTTTCTCTGTAGCTTTGGAGCCTGTCCTGGAAACAACTCTTGTAGATTAGACTGGCCTTGAACTCACAGAGATCTGCTTGCCTCTGCCTCCCAAGTGTTAGGATTAAAGGGGTGCACCACCACCGCCCGTCATCACTGTCGTTCTTATGATTCTGACATAAATTCAGAGGATGGTGAAGATCTGCCACAACAGAGTGACAATGAGACACAATGTACCTGTCCCACAACAGAGTGACAATGAGACATAATGTACCTGTTTCACAACACAGTGACAATGAGACACAATGTACCTGTCCCACAACACAGTGACAATGAGACACAATGTACCTGTCCCACAACACAGTGACAATGAGACACAATGTACCTGTCCCACAACAGAATGACAATGAGACACAATGTACCTGTTTCACAACACAGTGACAATGACACACAATGTACCTGTCCTACTCAGCACTGTCAACTTGAAAGAGCTCGGAGACCTCTGAGAAGAAAGCATCTTCTTGTGGGACCCTCACCCCTTATTTTTAAAGGGCCAAGAAGAAATTTTCTAGCAGAATGTTTTCCCAGGAAGATAATGGCCTTCCCCTCTCCCACCCAGGATATTCTGAGCACAAGGTCACTTAGCTCAGCCCAGCCAGCCACCTGCTACAGGCTGATAAAGATGGCCTAACTCAAGAACAGTGGTCTCTCTAAAAACAAGAAAAAAAGCTGACTTAACAGAATGTGAGGCAGCAAAAGTCCTTGTATCCGTGCCAAAGCATCTTCAAAGATTCTCTTTGTAGTTATGCCTTTAAAAGCTTACCCCACAGAGGAGATACAACTCCTCTCTACCTTGTTGTAACGGGGATGGAGATGAGTTCCAAACATGTTTGTAGTATGCTGATTAAACCTTGCTTATTACAGTCTGGGCCTCTCTGGTGGTCTCTCTCTGGGGGTCGTGATCTGGGCACAACATTTGGTGCATTGGCCGGGAACCCCAGAGATTCCACCAGGATGATGGAAGTCCAGAGGTTTATTAGCATCTACTGATGAGAGAGCGCTCCTTGTCTTTTGTCTCTTTGTCTCTGTCATTTTGTCTTGTCTGTCTGGCTATGGCTGCTTTGATTTTGTACCGGTCGACCGATTTGGGATTTTGGTATTGACAGGTGTTCTCTGAAGTGGACGCACTTGTATAGAGACCCTGGAGAAGCAAGGGACGCCTTGTCTTCCAGACAGTGATGGGAATTCTCCCACTCCGGGGTCATTTCTAGACAGGGGCCTTTCTGGCTCCGGGTTATTTTCAGACAGGGGCTTTGCTGGCCCCGGGTCATTTTCAAACAGGGAGTTTGCTCCCGGGTCATTTCCAGACAGGGATGGGAATTCTCCCACTCCCAGGTCATTTCTAGACAGGGGCCTTTCTGGCTCCGGGTCATTTTCAGACAGGGGCTTTGCTGGCCCTGGGTCATTTTCAAACAGGGAGTTTGCTCCCGGGTCATTTCCAGACAGGGATGGGAATTCTCCCACTCCCGGGTCATTTCTAGACAGGGGCCTTTCTGGCTCCGGGTCATTTTCAGACAGGGAGTTTTGCTCCTGGGTCATTAGACAGGGACCGGCATTCTACAGACCCTGGGTCTTTTGCAGCTACCTCAGAGACAGCTGTTTGAGTTTCTTCCATAGTGGGAGAAAACGTCACTATGTGTCCTGTCCCTGAAATTTGTCAAAGTCCTTTTATGTTATGTTATGGTAATTATTGTTTTGTTTCCTTCCTCGAGGCTCCTATGGAGCCCCAGCCCCCTCCCCGCAGCAGTTAGACATGGAGAGAAGAGAGGAAAAATCTTAAAGAGCACCCAAACGAGACTGGGCGCAGAGAGGATAGGGAATACATGCCTGTGACTTATAATGTCTTTGGGACTACGACATTGGGTACATGGTGATCCCCTGGAGTTCCAAAAAACTGTTGTCTCTTTGTTTATCATGTTTAAGACTGGACTGACGAGGAAAATAAATAAAACAAAACTTAAACGTAAAATGCAAATATCTTGACAGCAGCCCATCTAGGGTCTGTATCCCTAGCCCTGAGCCAGGTCTGATGGCAAGAGAATACACAGTCTGGGTGCTGAGAGCTAAGCCTTGAGACTGCGGGAAATGCAATATGGCAGAGGGTCTGGGTGGGCGCTGAGGGGATCCGAGGCCAGGGAGCAAGGACACCTGAGATGGAGCGGATGGCAAAATCATCATGCACCCGGCCTCAAACGGTGGAGCTAGTGACTGAGAGAGGCCGGCTGCAGCAAAACAGGGCAGCCACCTCTCCCTTGTTCTCTCTCTGTATCTTGAGGGTCTTTGCCTTAGGCAGAAGAGAGGGACCTACACGCAGGTGACAGAGAATTGACTACTTGCAATTAAAATAACTGTGTAAATATAAAAAAAAATCTGAGATCATGCTCAAAAAAAGTTAACAAAAAAACTTTTTTAAGAAAGCATTGACAGCCAAGGACACTCTCTGTGCCCACTGCTGCTGTCCCCTCTTTTCTTTTCTGAACCAAGTTCTTCAGTATGATAACACTCAAGGTCTCTTCTACTGGCCAGCAGTTTCCCGTCTTAACACTTTCCTGTCCTGATGCTGCTTATAAGAAATTTTCTATTATACCAACCTGTAATTTAAAAAAAATGTTGATTTTAAAGTAAATGTCAAAAGATACATTATGAGCCTGACCTAATGGGCCGATCAGCATTATAACTTAAAAAAAAAGATACATTATGTTTAAAAATGCTTTAATTTCCACAGGAAAAAAATATATATGGGTTACAAACACTTATCACCTTTTATTAAGATGCATATTTCTGCTTTTGTTTTATACAATGTTCTGCTAAATAAAATCACAAAAAAGACTTTGATAAAAATTTACACATTGTCTATAAAGGTTTTTAATAGAGGTTTTTAAAAGACCAAAAGATGTTTGCTATAATTTCTTGTACCTAACTGTTTAATGGTTTATTCTGGTTTTAAAAAGTTTTATTTGTCTTGTTAAAGGGCCATGGTTATTTCTTAAAAAATTATATATGTTTATTTTGCAAAAAATTAATCTTTGATAATTATAAGCTTCGTACTTGTAATTTTTCTCTGAGCTCTGGTCATTAGATTTGGGTTCGCAAAAATTTAAATGTCTTTTTGATATAGATAATATTAAAACTGTTTTATGCTGTTCTTTGCTGATATATAAGAAAGTCAGTTACCACCGGAAATATCTGGAATTAGACTCCCAAAGGTGGGGGGGAAACGGCTATAAAGAAAACCACCAATGCCAGGTAATAGTCACCAAAAATGTCAACTATAATAAAATAAGTTATAAAACATATATGCTTATAAAATGTGTCATATTGTTAATATTTAGATTTTAGCCTCATTGTCTTTGCTAAAATCATTAAAGGTTCAATCTAACAAAAATATGATATATAATTTTGAACTGTTAAAAATACAAATTAATAATCAGTCATCCTCAAATACTGATATAAGTACATGGATAAGCTTTATTTAGTCCCCTATATATGTTTTAAAGCTTAAAACAAATAATTTTTAATAATAAAGTCTGTCTAATCAGAGATACCTGGACAGCCCTAAATACTTCAGAGATCTATAGAAAATGGCATTTAAAATAATGTTTTAAAAGCTTATATCAGACAGAGACTCTGAGATCCTAACAGTGACCCAAGGTCTCCAAAGACGACTATGAGACACCACAATGTCTCCTCCTGGATAATGATGATGCTGACCACTGGGCAAAATGCCCCGATGCCACGACCTGCTGCCAGGCCCCAGCCCAGACTGTGGGCAAACAGTAGGACCTTGGAGAATTGATTGCACCACTTTTGCCTAGACAAAATAAGGTCAGTCTTTTCCATGTCCCTCTTCCACAGAAACCAATCACCTTATGGGCCTGGTAAAGCCTGCTGTTCTGATACTGCTGCCTCCAACGTTATGGAGACCTGGGTATGACCGTATATGGGCTGGTCTCTGCCATTTTTCTGTTTTGTCTGTACTTAAGTACAATTTATTTATCCTTCTAAGATCTCTGATTGTATTTAATGGCTAGGCCAACTATAATATCAATTTAAGAGCAAAAAAAGATATCCAGATCTTTAGACAAAGCTATAGTCAGCTTGTTAGCTCATTATATATAAAGGTCTAAGGATATAAAAATTCATAAACATTAAGGGTTTAAAAAATAATTTAAAATAGTGCAAATAAACAATAAAACAATGACTACATACTGTTTGGGTTACAAGTTCAGGATTTTCTATGTTTTTGCTGGGACTCAAAGGTATAAGTCTAGTTTTTACTGTTTTATATATACCTGTTATTTGCTATTTCTATAATATTGATTTTAATATGGGCCTAAAAGTTTCAAATGTATTAACTTCTGTTCCTAGTTTAAATTTGTCTCAACAGGTTTCCCCTTGGTTGGCGGACACAAACAAACATTAATTGCTGACTGCAACCTGCTCCAGACGACTGTGGACCATGGACTTGCTAAAAATCTGTTATGGACCAGTCTAGCTGATATAAATGCTCCCTGGCTCTTCAACAAAGTCCACAAACCAAATGTTCCTAAGATTTTCTCTTTTTGACTAGCATTTCACCTTTGTTAACCCTTGACAACGACTCCCCAAAGTCAGCTGGAAGCAGTTAAAAGAATACATCGTCCAATAACCCCTGTTTAAAATGTTAAGTCAAAGGAAACATAAAAAGACTCTAAGTTTAAGAGACAATTTGGCCAAAGTTAGCAAAACCAGCTCATGATTGAGCTGATTCTTAGGACCAAGAGGAGTGGGGAATGTGGGATCCCCACCCCTTATTCTCAAAGGGGCAAGAAGAAATTTTCTAGCAGAATGTTTTCCCAGTAAGATAGTGGCCTTCCCCTCTCCCACCCAGGATATTCTGAGCACAAGGTCACTTAGCTCAGCCCAGCCAGCCACCTGGTACAGGCTGATAAAGATGGCCTAACTCAAGAACAGTGGTCTTTCTAAAAACAAGAAAAAAAGCTGACTTAACAGAATGTGAGGCAGCAAAAGTCCTTGTACCCATGCCAAAGCATCTTCAAAGATTCTCTTTGTAGTTATGCCTTTAAAAGCTTACCCCACAGAGGAGATACAACTCCTCTCTACCTTGTTGTAACGGGGATGGAGATGAGTTCCAAACATGTTTGTATTATGCTGATTAAACCTTCCTTATTACAGTCTGGGCCTCTCTGGTGGTCTCTCTCTGGGAGTCGTGATCTGGGCACAACATTCTGAGGACTGTCGTAGATTGGATCGTCCAGTGGGCATGTCTTTGGGGGACCAACATACTGGGGGCAACACAACACCTGGGCAGGTGCTGCTGGGCTGTTTAAGAAAGCTGGGTAGTCATGAGCCTGAGAGTAAGCTGGAGGAAAGACCAGCAAACAGCCAAGGTGCCCGCCTCCACGTTCCTGCCTTGTGTTCCCACCCCGACCTCCCTGTGACAGGTTGGGACTTGAAAGTGTAAGGAAAACATCCCACCACCACCCAGGTTGCTTTTGGTCATAGTGTTTCATCACAAAATTAGAAGAAAACTCAAATAGTATCTCAGTCCGATTTCTTATGCCATTGAACATATCTTAGTGGGAGCTGCAGAGATGCACCAGGAGTTGAGTACTTGCTTGCTCTGGTAGAGAACGTGGCTTTGATTCCTAGCACCCCGATGATGGCTCATTGCCTGGAACTCAGTTTGAGGGCATCCAACATTCTTGTCTCCTAGGTCACTGCATGTGCAGTGTTCATACAGATGACTAGCCACATACACAAGCACACAAAAGTAAAAAAACAAAACAAAACACATTTTGGTTGGACATCTGTAATTTTAGCACTTTGGAGGCAGAGGCAGGAGAATTGCTACAACTTGAGGCTGGTCTGGTCTGTATAGCAAGACCCAGGCCAGACAGAGCTAAATTTAAAGACTAAATTTAAAGATAAATTTAAGGAAATATTTCTTGAGTGATTTATATTTAGGAATATGTATTTATGGATATATATATATGGATCTGTATATATGTTTATGGGTATATATATATAGATGTGTATCCATAAATTATATATATATGGATCTGTATATATGTTTATGGGTATATATAGATGTATATCCATAAATTATATATATATATGTGTATGAAAACATAGCTAATCTTCCTGGGTCTTGTGGTAGTTTGAATAAGAATGGCCCCCAAATGCTTTTGTAGTATGATTGAGCATCTTTTGTACCACTCTTGGGAATATACACAAAAGATGCTCAATCATACTACAAAAGCATTTGTTCAACTATGTCCATAGCAGTATTATTTGTAATAGCCAGACCCTGAAAACAACCTAAATGCCCCTCAACCAAAGAATGGGTAAAGAAAATGTAGTACATTTACACACTAGAGTACTACTCAGTGGTAAAAAAACAAAAAACAAACAAAAAGCAACAACAACAAAAAACCCCAATGACATCTTGAATTTTGCATGCAAATGAATGGAATTAGAAAACACTATGCTGACCCAAAAAGATGAATATGGCATGTACTCACTCATAAGTGGATACTAGCTATAAACAAATGACATTGAGCCTATAGTTCATGATCCTAGAGAAGCTAAGTAATAAGGTGAACCCAAATAAAAACATATATAGACCCACCTGGAAATTGGAAACAGAGAAGACTGCCTGACTAAATTGGGAGCATGGGCGTGGAGAAAGAAGGGAGGGTAGAAAGAGAAGAGGAGGGGAGAAAGGAAGGGTTGAGAAGAATTTGAGGCAATGGGATAGTCGAGATGGAGGAAGGACAGAGATGAGAGCAAGGAAAGAGATATCTTGATTGAGGGTTAGCAGAAACCTGGCTCTAGAGAAATTCCCAAGAATCCACAAGGATGACCTCGCCTAAGAGACCCTAAGCAATAGAGGGAAGGGGACCCAATCCTGACTGGCCCTGTAATCAGACTGATGATTATCTTAAACATCACCATAGAAACTTTGTCCAGCAACAGATGGAAAAAGAGGCATCGGAGCACTGGACTGAGTTCCAAAATTACAGTTAAAGAGTGGGAGGAGTGAGAATATGTGCAAAGAAGTCAAGACCATGATGGGGACACCCAGTGAAACCGTTTGCCTGAGTTAATGGGAGCTCACCAACTCCAGCCGGGCTGGGAAGGAACAAGCATAGGACCAAACTAGTTCCTCTGTGTGTGGATGACAGTTGCATGGCTGGGGCAGCCTGAGGGGCCACTGGCAGTGGCACCAGGATTTATCCCTATTGCATGTACTGACTTTTGGGGAACCTATTCTCTTTGCATGTATACCTTGCTCAGCCTAGATATAGTAGGGAGGGACTTGGATCTTCCACAAAGCAATGTGCTTTACCCTCTCTGAGGATGAGATGACAGGATGTGTGGAGGGATATATTTGGGAGGAGGGGAAGGAGTGGGAACTTGGATTGGTATTTTTCTTAAAAAAAAAATCTAATAAATTAAAAAAAAAGAATGGCCCCCATAGACTCATAGATTTGAATGCTTGGTCACCAAGAAATGACACTTCTAGGGTATATGGTCTTGTTGGAGTAGGTGTGGCATTTGTGGAGAAAATGTGCCACTGGGGTTGGGGGTGGGGTGCTTTGATGATTAAAAAGTTCAAGCCAGGCCCAAAGTCTTTCTTTCTCTTCTTGCTGCCCGCAGATCTGAATGTAAAACTCTAAGCTTCTTCTCCAGCACAGTATCTGCCCCCATGATTCCCACCACGCTAAATGGACTAAACCTCTGAAACTGTGAGCAAGCCCCAATGAAATGCTTCCCTGTATAAGAGTTGTTATGGTCACAGTGTCCCTTCACAACAGTAGAACACTGACTGTAACAAACCCGTTCAAAATCTACAGAGCTTGCTTTTTATTATTGTATAAAATGCCAAAACTAACTCAGAGGAGGAAAACTTCTATTTCACCTTACAATTCCACCTTAGGAGTCAGGGCAGGAACTCAAGGCAAGTTTCCGAAGCCAGGAACTGCGGCAGAGACCACAGGAACACAGATTGCTCTCCATAGTTTTCTCAGTCTACTTTATTACATCATCCAGGACCACCTGCCCAGGCGTGGCTCCACCCACAGTGGGCGGGGCCCTCCTACATCAGTCAATAACCGCAGGCCCGCCTACAGGTCCAAGTGAAGGCAGCCTTTTCTCTACTGAGGTGCCCTCTTCCCAGATAACCTTAGTTTCTGTCAAGTTGGCAAACAGCAAACCAACACACAGTACTATACATACTCAAAATCTTCCTGCTGTACAAATCCAAACCCAAATTTAAAAGAAAAAAATCTTCATTTTATCATTTTCCTCAGCTTTGAATTTTGTTTTTATTTTGAACATGTTATTTGAATTATCTTTATGTCTACCTTTTAAGGGTGTTCTTTACATAGAAGGAAGGTATGCAGAGTTTTATACTGAAAGGTACCGTGATAATCATTTATAACTGAGTTATGGACAAGAGAAACATTCTATTGAGAGCATTTTCTTTGGTATTTTTAAAGTAGAGATCCACAAAAAAAGATTATTAATTTAATGCTAGTATATTAATCCATGATTATTAATAAAAGTCAATTATTTATATTATATAAGCCGAAGAAGTGTTTCAAAGGCCAAGTGCCTCTCTTTGAAGCTGCATCAATTTCTTGTTCTATTCGGTATCAAAATGACACATGCTATTACAAAAACGCAGGCACTAAGAGTTTGTTCTGAAATACAGGCAGCCATGGTTCATGTCAGGGGCCTTTGGATCAGTCTGTCCTTTAAGTGCGGTTACCCTTTGTGGCTCTTAAAAGGGAGAGGGAAGCTCAAAGCCAGCAGCATCATTTCTATTTGACATCTGGCTTGTGTTTCTGCCCAGTACATCAAGAAAATGAAACCGCGAGCCTGAAAGGAAGACTAGGAAAACAAAAGGTGAGCAAGGACTTGTGCCTGGTGTGGAGAATGTAATTACTGAATCGAGTTTGATTTCTTACTCTGGGTGCCTTTGCCTGACTTGACTTCAAAACTGGGCTTCCTGACTTGATTCTGGTTGATGCCTCTCACTCTCTGCTCTTGACTGTCTCCTACTGAGAAGCAATGAAATCTCATTTACTTCTTTTTCTGTGCTTTTGCTAACAGTGTCCCATGTAGCTCAGGCTGGCGTCAAGTACTCTACGCTGAATGACTGATACTGGCCTGGAATTCCTGATCCCCCGCTGCCACCCACCTCCAAAGTGCTGGGATGACCGACGTGTGCTACCGCTGGGCTCCATCTCATTTCTTCCTGGTTGTTCCGCATGCCATGTTTGTAGTGATACCAGAAATTAGAACAGGCAGTGTGTATACAGGGAGTCAGAACTTGGGCTCAGTAGGACACGTTTCTCTTCATCTTTATAATTGTTCTAATTAAGGAAGCACTTGCCGAGACAGCAGTGCAAACATCACTGTTCTGGTTATCTTGGAGTGTTATCTTTATCCTTGGAACACTTCCCAAAAGGAAAACTTACACAAAAAGAATGTACTTACCTTGAGAGTTTAGTACATGTAGAACATGCTAACTTCTGCATCTGCGACTGATTTCATAGGTATGAAAGAACTCTGTGGGGTCTTTCTGAGCCAGAGGAGAAACAGCTTTGCTTCTCTTTTTTTAATTAGTTTTATTTTGCAAGTCACAACCAAACTCAGAATTTTA